AAAAAAAAAAAAAAAAAAAAAAAAAAAAAAAATTCCCCCTTTTTAAAAAAAAAAAAAAAAAAAAAAAAGGCAAAATTATGATAGACACCATGGAAGTCTAATAATAGAATTATTAGAAATTATTTTGAAGACGGGGTGTATGGCTTGTGCCTATAATTCTAGTACTTGGGGGGGCTGATGCAGGAATAGGCTGGTCCTGAACTGCATAGTGAGACTGCCTCCAAAAAGGAAACTGTTTTGAAAACTTATTTTTCAGTAACTTGGAGAATCTAGAAGAAATGAGTAATTTTCTAGACACAAATGACCTATAAAAATTAACATCAAAAAGATATAAAAACATCTAGAGAGATCAGTCACAAAGGATGAGATTGAAATAATAGAAACTTTCCCAACTAAGAAGAGCCTGATGAATTTATTTGTGAATTTTATCAGACTTGTAGAGAACTAATACCAATGGTTATCCTATTCCACGGAATAGAAAGGGCAGGAATAGTCCAGATCCATTCTATAGAGCAAGCATTATCTTGATAACCAAAACTGGCTGGATAAGGACTCAAACAAAAAAATTACCAGCCAATATCCTTGATGAACATAGATACAAAAATCCCCATAAGATTCTTGCAGAATTCGGTGATACATTAAGATCATCATACACTGTGTAAGGTGGTTTCATCCTAGGGATGTAAGGATGGTTCAACAATTTGTAAATCAGTAAATATAGTATGCTACATAAGGAGAACTAAGAATAAAAACCACATAATCATCTTAATAGATGCAGGAAAAGACAAAAGTCAACATCCAAGAAAATAGGCATAGAAGGATATTTCCTCAAATTGATAAAAGCATGTGTGACAAACCCACAGCTAACATCATACTGAACAGGGAAAAACTGAAAGTACTTTCTCTAAAATCAGGAGCAAGATGAGGGTGTTCATTCTCACCACTCTTATTCCTTATAGTGCTTGAACTTTTAGCCAGGGTAGTTAGGCAAGAGAAGGAAATAAAAAGGGTACAAGCAGGGAGGGAAGAAGTCAGTTTTGTCCCTAGTTTTAGATGATCTGTTCCTTTACTTAGATAACTTTAAAAACTGTACCGGATCACTGATCAATCTGATAAACAAATTCAGCAGCATGGCAGTATTTAAAATCCGCACACAAAGTTGAATAGCTTTCCTATAGTATAATGAGTCTGCCAAGAAGTAAATCAGAAAAACAATTCCATTTACAGTAGCTTCAAAAATAAAACAAAAAACCCTATTAATCAACATAGCCAAGAAAGTGAAAGAGCTTTCCAATGAAAATTAGAGAACGCTGAAGAAGGAAATTAGAGAAGACATTAGAGAAGAATTTAGA